CGTGAACAACACCACTCAGACGTGAACACCACTCAGACGTGAACAACAACACTCAGACGTGAACAACAACACTCAGACGTGAACACCACTCAGACGTGAACAACACCACTCAGACGTGAACAACGCCACTCAGACGTGAACAACAACACTCAGATGTGAACAACACCACTCAGACGTGAACAACAACACTCAGACGTGAACAACAACACTCAGACGTGAACAACAACACTCAGACGTTAACAACAACACTCAGACGTAAACAACAACACTCAGACGTGAACAACAACACTCAGACGTGAACAACAACACTCGACTGAACAACCCAACACTCAGACGTGGAATACCACTCAGAAAGTGAAAAAACACCACTCAGACGTGAATACCACTCAGACGTGAACACCACTCAGACGTGAATACCACTCAGACGTGAACACCACTCAGACGTGAATACCACTCAGACGTGAACAACACCACTCAGACGTGAATACCACTCAGACGTGAACACCACTCAGACGTGAATACCACTCAGACGTGAACACCACTCAGACGTGAACACCACTCAGACGTGAACACCACTCAGACGTGAACACCACTCAGACGTGAACACCACTCAGACGTGAACACCACTCAGACGTGAACAACATCACTCAGACGTGAACACTACTCAGACGTGAACACCACTCAGACGTGAACAACACCACTCAGACGTGAACAACACCACTCAGACGTGAACGACAACACTCAGACGTGAACACCACTCAGACGTGAACAACAACACTCAGACGTGAACAACAACACTCAGACGTTAACAACACTCAGACGTGAACACCACTCAGACGTGAACATCACTCAGACGTGAACAACAACACTCAGACGTTAACAACACTCAGACGTGAACACCACTCAGACGTGAACACTCAGACGTGAACAACAACACTCAGACGTTAACAACACTCAGACGTGAACACCACTCAGACGTGAACATCACTCAGACGTGAACAACAACACTCAGACGTTAACAACACTCAGACGTGAACACCACTCAGACGTGAACACTCAGACGTGAACAACAACACTCAGACGTTAACAACACTCAGACGTGAACACCACTCAGACGTGAACAGCAACACTCAGAAGTGAACAACAACACTCAGACGTGAACAACAACACTCAGACGTGAACAACAACACTCAGGCGTGAACAACAACACTCAGGCGTGAACAACAACACTCAGGCGTGAACAACAACACTCAGACGTGAACAACAACACTCAGGCGTGAACAACAACACTCAGACGTGAAACAACAAACTCAGGCGTGAAAAAACAACACTCAGGCGTGAACAACAACACTCAGGCGTGAACAACAACACCAGACGTGAACAACAACACTCAGACGTGAACAACAACACTCAGGCGTGAACAACAACACTCAGACGTGAACAACACCACTCAGACGTGGACAACAACACTCAGACGTGAACAACACCACTCAGACGTGAACAACACCACTCAGACGTGAACACCACTCAGACGTGAACAACAACACTCAGGCGTGAACAACACCACTCAGACGTGAACAACAACACTCAGACGTGAACAACACCACTCAGACGTGAACAACAACACTCAGACGTGAACAACAACACTCAGACGTGAACAACACCACTCAGACGTGAACAACACCACTCAGACGTGAACAACACCACTCAGACGTGAACAACACTCAGACGTGAACACCACTCAGACGTGAACAACAACACTCAGACGTGAACAACAACACTCAGACGTGAACAACAACACTCAGACGTGAACAACAACACTCAGACGTGAACAACAACACTCAGACGTGAACAACAACACTCAGACGTGAAACAACAAAACTCAGACGTGAACAACACCACTCAGACGTGAACAACAACACTCAGACGTGAACAACACCACTCAGACGTGAACAACAACACTCAGACGTGAACAACAACACTCAGACGTGAACAACACCACTCAGACGTGAACAACACCACTCAGACGTGAACAACAACACTCAGACGTGAACAACAACACTCAGACGTGAACAACAACACTCAGACGTGAACAACAACACTCAGACGTGAACAACCAACTCAGACGTGAACAACAACACTCAGACGTGAACAACACCACTCAGACGTAAACAACAACACTCAGACGTGAACAACAACACTCAGACGTGAACAACAACACTCAGACGTGAACAACAACACTCAGACGTGAACACCACTCAGACGTGAACAACAACACTCAGACGTGAACAACAACACTCAGACGTGAACAACAACACTCAGACGTGGACAACATCACTCAGACGTGAACAACAACACTCAGACGTGAACAACAACACTCAGACGTGAACAACAACACTCAGACGTGAACAACACCACTCAGACGTGAACAACAACACTCAGACGTGAACAACAACACTCAGACGTGAACAACAACACTCAGACGTGAACAACAACACTCAGACGTGAACAACAACACTCAGACGTGGATGATAGAGACGGGTGGACCAACAAATTATCATTATAGTGACATATTTGTTGGTTGTATAGCAAGACAGTTCTGGTACTCACGTGTACAAGCACGCCAGGTATAGCAAGACAGTTCTGGTACTCACCTGTACAAGCACGCCAGGTATGGCAAGACAGTTCTGGTACTCACCTGTACAAGCACGCCAGGTATGGCAAGACAGTTCTGGTACTCACCTGTACAAGCACGCTAGGTATAGCAAGACAGTTCTGGTACTCACGTGTACAAGCACGCCAGGTATAGCAAGACAGTTCTGGTACTCACGTGTACAAGCACGCCAGGTATAGCAAGACAGTTCTGGTACTCACGTGTACAAGCCCCGCCAAAGGGATAGCAAGACGTTCTGGTACTCCGTGTACAAGCACGCAGGTTATAGCAAGACAGTTCTGGTACTCACGTGTACAAGCACGCCAGTATAGAAGACAGTTCTGGAAATCACGTGTACAAGCACGCCAGGTATAGCAAGACAGTTTGGTACTCACGTGTACAAGGGACGCCAGGTATAGCAAGACAGTTCTGGTACTCACGTGTACAAGCACGCCAGGTATAGCAAGACAGTTCTGGTACTCACGTGTACAAGCACGCCAGGTATAGCAAGACAGTTCTGGTACTCACGTGTACAAGCACGCAGGTATAGCAAGACAGTTCTGGTACTCACGTGTACAAGCACGCCAGGTATAGCAAGACAGTTCTGGTACTCACGTGTACAAGCACGCCAGGTATAGCAAGACAGTTCTGGTACTCACGTGTACAAGCACGCCAGGTATAGCAAGACAGTTCTGGTACTCACGTGTACAAGCACGCCAGGTATAGCAAGACAGTTCTGGTACTCACGTGTACAAGCACGCCAGGTATAGCAAGACAGTTCTGGTACTCACGTGTACAAGCACGCCAGGTATAGCAAGACAGGTTCTGGTACTCCCTGTACAAGCACGCCAGGGATGCAAGACAGTTCTGGTAACTCACGTGTACAAGCACGCCAGGTATAGCAAGACAGTTTTTGGGACTCACGTGTACAAACACGCCAGGTATAGCAAGACAGTTCTGGTACTCCCCGTGTACAAGCACGCCGGTATAGCAAGACATTCTGGTACTCACGTGTACAAGCAGCCCCGTATAGCAAGACAGTTCTGGTACTCACTGTACAAGCACGCCAGGTATAGCAGACCAGTTCTGGTACTCACGTGTACAAAACACGCCAGGTATAGCAAGCAGTTCTGGTACTCACGTGTACAAGCACGCCAGGTATAGCAAGACAGTTCTGGTACTCACGTGTACAAGCACGCCAGGTATAGCAAGACAGTTCTGGAACTCACGTGTACAAGCACGCCAGGTATAGCAAGACAGTTCTGGTACTCACGTGTACAAGCAAAGCCAGGTATAGCAAGACAGTTCTGGTACTCACTGTAAAGCACGCCAGGTATAGCAAGACAGTTCTGGTATCACTGTACAAGCACGCCAGGTATAGCAAGACAGTTCTGGTACTCACGTTTACAAGCACGCCAGGTATAGCAAGACAGTTCTGGTAAATCACGTTAACAAGCACGCCAGGTATAGCAAGACAGTTCTGGTACTCACGTGTACAAGCACGCCAGGTATAGCAAGACAGTTCTGGTACCTCACTGTACAACCGCCAGGTATAGCAAGACATTTTTGGTACCACTGTACAAGCACGCCAGGTATAGCAAGACGTTCTGGTACTCCCCGTTACAAGCACGCCAGGGATAGCAAGACAGTTCTGGTACTCACGTGTACAAGCACGCCAGGTATAGCAAGAAGTTTGGTACTCACGTGTACAAGCACGCCAGGTATAGCAAGACAGTTCTGGTACTCACGTGGGACAAGCACGCCAGGGATAGCAAGACATTCTGGTACTCACGTGTACAAGCACGCCAGGTATAGCAAGACAGTTCTGGTACTCACGTGACAAGCACGCCAGGTATGGGAAGACAGTTCTGGACTCACGTGTACAAGCACGCCAGGTATAGCAAGACAGTTCTGGTACTCACGTGTTTCAAGCACGCCAGGTATAGCAAGACATTTTTGGTACTCACGTGTACAAGCACGCCAGGTATAGCAAAAACATTCTGGTACTCACGTGTACAAGCACGCCAGGTATAGCAAGACATTTTGGTATCACTGTACAAGCACCCCCAGGTTAGCAGACATTTCTGGTATCACGTGTACAGACGCCGGGTATAGAAAAGACAGTTTGGTATCCTGTAAAGCACGCCAGGAGGGCAAGACAGTTCTGGTACTCACGTGTACAAGCACGCCAGGTATAGCAAGACAGTTCTGGTACTCACGTGTACAAGCACGCCAGGTATAGCAAGACAGTTCTGGTACTCACGTGTACAAGCACGCCAGGTATAGCAAGACAGTTCTGGTACTCACGTGTACAAGCACGCCAGGTATAGCAAGACAGTTCTGGTACTCACGTGTACAAGCACGCCAGGTATAGACGAAAAAATTTGGGTACATATATGATCTCTGGTATGACGATGACGTCACTGTAGCTCACCTGTAAGGTACAGTAACCAGGTGATTGAAGATACAATGCTGGAGGGAGGAGGAAGCAAGGGGGACAATAGGGAGGAAGTAGAAGGTAGAAAGGAGAGGGAGGTAGCAAGTAGAAGGTAGAAAGGAGAGGGAGGTAGCAAGTAGAAGGTAGAAAGGAGAGGGAGGTAGCAAGTAGAAGGTAGAAAGGAGAGGGAGGTAGCAAGTAGAAGGTAGAAAGGAGAGGGAGGTAGCAAGTAAAAGGTTAGAAAAGGAGAGGGACGTAGCAAGGAGATGGAGACATTAAAACATTTTATTTTAAACATTTACATTCATTCACTTAACACACCACACACACACACACACACACACACACACACACACACACACACACAAAACAACACACACAAACACCACACAAAAACCCACACACACACACACATGGAGAGCCAGGATGTTGGACGTGGTGCTGGAAAACCTCATGCACCAACATGTTAAGGACACTACCAGAGTGAGAGGGGGATGAACCAGCAAGTTTGGACCTTGTGTTCCACCCTGGGCAGTCAGACATTGAGGACATCAAGTATGAGAGTCCCCTAGGAGTAGCGACCACGTGGTTCTGTGCTTTGAATACATAGTAGACCCTGCAAGGGGAGAGAATAACGGGAGTAGAATGGGAAAAGCCTGACTATAAAAGAGGGGACTACATAGGGGTTGAAGAACTTCCTGGGGAGGTCCAGTGGGACAGAGAACTGGCAGGAAAGCCAGTAAATGAAATGATGGAATATGTAGCAACAAAATGCAAGGAGGCAGTGGAAAGGTTTCATTCCCAAGGGCAACAGTAAAAAACGGGAAGACCAGAACAAGCCCCGGGTTTTTACCCGACGGTGTAAGGAGGCAAAACAAGTGCAATAGAGAATGGAAAAAGTACAGAAGGCAGAGAACACACAAAATAGGGAGATCAGTCGCAGAGCCAGGAATGAGTACGCACAGGTAAGGAGGGAGGCCCAGCGGGCAGTATGAAATGACATAGCTCGAGAATCAAGACTGACCCCAAACTGTTTTTATAGCCACATTTAGGAGGAAGACAACAGTCAAAGGGCCAGGTGATCAGATTAAGGACAGAAGGTGGAGAACTCACAAGAAATGTCAGGAGGTATGTGAGGAGCTGAACAGGAGATTTAAGGAAGTTTTTACAGTAGAGACAGGAAGGGCTGTGGGAAGACAGCACAGAAGGGAACATCAAGAGGGAATATACCAACAAGTGCTGGATGACATCGAACAACTGAGGAGGAGGTGAAGAAGCTCTTAAGTGACCCTTTACACCTCAAAGGCGATGGGACCGGACAAGATCTCCCCATGCGTCCTTTAGAGAAGGAGCAGAGATGCTGTGTGTGCCTCTAACCACAATCTTCAAACATCCCTTGAAACGGGCAACTACCTGAGAAATGGAAGACAGCTAATGTAGTCCCCATATTTAAGAAAGGAAACAGAAACGAGGCATAAACTACAGACCTGTGTCTCTGACATGTATTGTGTGCAAAGGTCATGGAGAAGATTATCAGGAGGAGAGTGGTCGAACACCTGGAAAGGAACAAGATTATAAATGAAAAAAACCAGCATGGGTTCATGGAAGGCAAATCTTGTATCACAAACCTCCTGGAGTTTTATGACAAGGTAACAGAAGTAAGACACGAGAGAGAGGGTTGGGGAAAATTGCGTTTTCCTAGACTGCAGGAAGGCCTTTGACACAGTTCCCACAAGAGATTAGTGCAGAAGCGGGAGGATCAGGCACACGTAAAAGGAAGGGCACTGCAATGGATAAGGGAATACCTGACAGGGAGGCAGCAACGAGTCATGGTACGTGAAGAGGTATCACAGTGGGGGCCTGTTACGAGCGGGGTCCCACAGGGGTCAGTTCTAGGACCAGTGCTATTTTTGATATATGTGAACGACATGATGGAAGGAATAGACTCTGAAGTGTCCCTGTTCGCAGATGACGTGAAGTTGATGAGAAGAATTAAATCGGACGAGGATGAGGCAGGACTGCAAAGAGACCTGGAGAGGCTGCGAATGTGGTCCAGTAACTGGCTTCTCGAATTCAATCCAGCCAAATGCAAAGTCATGAAGAAGATTGGGGAGGGGCAAAGAAGACCGCAGACAGAGTATAGGCTAGGTGGACAAAGACTACAGACCTCACTCAGGGAGAAAGACCTTGGGGTGAACATAACACCGAGCACATCACCGGAGGCACACATCAACCAAATAACCGCTGCAGCATACGGGCGCCTGGCAAACCTGAGAATAGCGTTCCGATACCTTAATAAGGAATCGTTCAAGACACTGTACACTGTGTATGTTAGGCCCATACTGGAGTATGCAGCACCAGTCTGGAACCCACACCTGGTCAAGCACGTCAAGAAGTTAGAGAAAGTACAAAGGTTTGCAACAAGGCTAGTCCCAGAGCTCAAGGGAATGTCGTACGAGGAAAGGTTAAGGGAAATCGGACTGACGACACTGGAGGACAGAAGGGTCAGGGGAGACATGATAACGACATACAAGATACTGCGGGGAATAGACAAGGTGGACAGAGATAGGATGTTCCAGAGAGGGGACACAGGGACAAGGGGTCACAACTGGAAGCTGAAGACTCAGACGAGTCACAGGGACGTTAGGAAGTATTTCTTCAGTCATAGAGTTGTCAGCAAGTGGAATAGCCTAGCAAGTGAAGTAGAGGAGGCAGGAACCATACATAGTTTTAAGAAGAGGTATGACAAAGCTCAGGAAGCAGAGAGAGAGAGGATCCAGTAGCGATCAGTGAAGAGGCGGGGCCAGGAGCTGAGTATCGACCCCTGCAACCACAATTAGGTGAGTACAATTAGGTGAGTACACACAGTAGTGGCCAGTGAAGAGGCGAGACCAGCTGTGAATCGACTCCTGCAACCACAACTAGGTGGGTACACACACACACACACACACACAAACACACACACACAAACACACACACACACACACACACAAACACACACACACAAACACACACACAAACACACACACACAAACACACACACACACAAACACAAACACACACACACACATAGTAGTGGCCAGTGAAGAGGCGAGACCAGCTGTGAATGGACTCCTGCAACCACAACTAGGTGGGCACACACACACACACACACACACACACACACACACAAACACACACACAAACACACACAAACACACAAACACATACACACACACACACACACACACTAAAAATATTCACATACCACATAAAAATATCAAGGTCTTAATAGAAGTTATCCAAAATAGGGCCGAGGTCCCCACAGATATCTCAGTAATTATAAAAAGCGATACTTCAGTGAAAAAAACTGAAGCCTTGGACAAGCAGTTAAAGCAAGTATCAGGGCTAGACACCAGTGTCACAGAGGGGCAGGACACACTGCCAGTGTCACAGAGGGGCAGGACACACTGCCAGTGTCACAGAGGGGCAGAACACACCACCAGTGTCACAGAGGGGCAGGACACACTGCCAGTGTCACAGAGGGGCAGGACACATTGCCAGTGTCACAGAGGGGCAGAACACACCACCAGTGTCACAGAGGGCAGGACACACTGCCAGTGTCACAGAGGGGCAGGACACATTGCCAGTGTCACAGAGGGGCAGGACACACCACCAGTGTCACAGAGGGGCAGGACACACCACCAGTGTCACAGAGGGGCAGGACACACTGCCAGTGTCACAGAGGGGCAGGACACACCACCAGTGTCACAGAGGGGCAGGACACACTGCCAGTGTCACAGAGGGGCAGAACACATTGCCAGTGTCACAGAGGGGCAGGACACACTGCCAGTGTCACAGAGGGGCAGGACACACCACCAGTGTCACAGAGGGGCAGGACACATTGCCAGTGTCACAGAGGGGCAGGACACACCACCAGTGTCACAGAGGGGCAGGACACACTGCCAGTGTCACAGAGGGGCAGGACACACTGCCAGTGTCACAGAGGGGCAGGACACACCACCAGTGTCACAGAGGGGCAGGATACACCACCAGTGTCACAGAGGGGCAGGACACATAGCCAGTGTCACAGAGGGGCAGGACACACTGCCAGTGTCACAGAGGGGCAGGACACACTGCCAGTGTCACAGAGGGGCAGGACACACTGCCAGTGTCACAGAGGGGCAGGACATACTACCAGTGTCACAGAGGGGCAGGACACACTGCCAGTGTCACAGAGGGGCAGGACACACTGCCAGTGTCACAGAGGGGCAGGACACACTGCCAGTGTCACAGAGGGGCAGGACACACTGCCAGTGTCACAGAGGGGCAGGACACACTGCCAGTGTCACAGAGGGGCAGGACACACTGCCAGTGTCACAGAGGGGCAGGACACACCGCCAGTGTCACAGAGGGGCAGGACACACCACCAGTGTCACAGAGGGGCAGGACACATTGCCAGTGTCACAGAGGGGCAGGACACACTGCCAGTGTCACAGAGGGGCAGGACACACTGCCAGTGTCACAGAGGGGCAGGACACACTGCCAGTGTCACAGAGGGGCAGGACACCCACCAGTGTCACAGAGGGCAGGACACACTGCCAGTGTCACAGAGGGGCAGGACACACTGCCAGTGTCACAGAGGGGCAGGACACACTGCCAGTGTCACAGAGGGGCAGGACACATTGCCAGTGTCACAGAGGGCAGACACACCACAGTGTCACAGAGGGGCAGGACACACTGCCAGTGTCACAGAGGGGCAGGACACACTGCCAGTGTCACAGAGGGCAGGACAACCCCAGTGTCACAGAGGGGCAGGACACATTGCCAGTGTCACAGAGGGGCGGGACACACCACCAGTGTCACAGAGGGGCAGGACACCTGCCAGTGTCACAGAGGGCAGGACACATTGCCAGTGTCACAGAGGGGCAGGACACACCACCAGTGTCACAGAGGGGCAGGACACACTGCCAGTGTCACATAGGGGCAGGACACATTGCCAGTGTCACAGAGGGGCA